CTTTTCCAACCTAAATGATTCTATGATTCTATGATTATATACGTAGCTCAAGTACAAAGCTGGGCTGAAAGCATTGACAATGTCAGGGAGTCCAGATTTGAGGATTCTAGTTCACAGAATCACAGAATGCTTTGGGTTGGAAGGGACCTTTAGAGGTCATCTAGCCCAACCCCCATGCCGTGAGCAGGGACATCTTTAACCAGATCAGGGTGCTCAGAGCCCCATCCAACCTGACCTTCAATGTTTCCAGGGATGGGGCCTCCACTACCTCTCTGGGCAACCTGTTCCAGTGCTTCACCACCCTCATTGTAAAAAAATTCTTCCTTATATCCAGTCTAAATCTATTCTTCTTTAGTTTAAAACCATTATTCCTTGTCCAGTTGATTGTTAATGTCCTAGTTCTTCTCTTAGAACTGGGAAGATCCAACTGGAGTCTCTTCAGGGCTGAAAAAGCCCAAGACTCCCTCATGAAAACTGCTGCCTGCAGGATTGGCTGTGCATGGACACTGATTTTTGTCAATATTTTTAAGGTTATTTTCCTCTCTGGATTCTGAAGAGGGGTCCTATTTCCACAGTCTGGCCTTACAAAGCCTGCACAGACTGTGCTCTGAATCTTTTCCTTGTACCAGCTTTTCAACCCCTCCCAAGACACTGGTAGAGTGCTATTAATAATAATAATATTGTCAAGAGAAATGGCAATATGTGGTTTAAGATAATAGTGGCTGCTGCTCTTACCAGCAGGGCTTGAGGTGAGGCGAGGGCCTGGCTGAAGGTGCTGGATGGTTGTGTCTTGGTTCTGTAAATGTATTGTTGGTGCCTGTGACACTGGTGTATGCATCCCAGATTCTGTGTGAGTCTCCGAGTCAGATGTGAACGCCTAGAGAAAAGAAAGTTAATGGTGCCTGGTTTCTACATCCCTTCTAACAAGCATGAGAGAAGAGTGAGCAGGTGCTGTTTCCAAGGAGATTAAATCCTCCTTGATGATACAGTGAAGAGCTTGCTCTAATGCCTCCAGTATTGCAGCTGGTACCAGCAAGGCAAGGAGATAAGGAAGATCATCCTGCTGGGATGGCATAGACCACACACCCAAAAACTCTTTGACAAGCGAGGAGCTACCTGCAGACTGGTGCAGTTCTAAGGTGGGGGAACAAAGGCACGTGCTAAAGGCTGTTACCTGTTTAGTTGGTGTCAGGTTAGTCAGGGCGCTGAGATTGGCTGTATCTGTTATCACCATGGTTTGTGGTAAGAGGCCTGTATGTGTGTATTGGGCCACTTCAGACTTGGGGCCGTAGAGAGCTGTGCATGAAAGAAAACAAGGTCATGTGGATGCTGGAGCTTTCCATGAGACTAGTTTGGCTGAGTTGTTCTCATGCACGTGGACCTGCTGTCTGTCTCTGAAACAGGGGGAGTGGAGGGACAGGGAGATGAATGCAAGAGAAAAATAATTTCATAATTAAAGCAACAGTAATAGAAGAGGAAAATAGAGTGCTGCAAGCCCAAGGACCCAGCAAATGCTCCAGAACAGAGCCTTTATTTTTTGGTTTGCTTGAGCAAATAGGTTCACGTTCTTACCATGAGGGTTCTGTATCTGGGCCATGGTAGCCATGAAGGGGCTCTGGTTGATGTGGCTCTGGACCTGCTGCATGAGGGGCTGCTGGTAGGATGGGTGCAGTTGCTGGGAGAACTGGACGGGCTGCAGGGTAGTGAGGCTGCTCCCCATGCTGTTTATTACAGGTACGCTCTGGGGCTGGGTTGAAGCCAGGCCTGAAAAACAAGGACTGATGACAGTAGTGTCACACACTATGGGAGGACTGTGTCTGCTCTGCAGTAGGGGCGTCTGAAATAGTCATCGTGGCAGGCCTGTTGTTGCAGGGTGATTTCGGATCCTGCTTTTCAGGTGTTCCGTATGTTATCTGTGATTATGAATAGATCTCATGCCTGTGAAAATTAAGTGGGAGTGTGCAAAATGTACAATGCAGACAGGTACCATAAAACCACCTCTGACTTCTAGTGTTTGTTCCTGTGTACATCCTGTGTACCAGTATAGGTCATTTCCAATCTGGTGATAACCTGATACAAAGTTCCACTGGGGAGGCCTTGCTCAGATGTAAACTCAGAGCATCGTCTCATGTCCAGTTAATTTTATTCTTTTTTTATGAAGCTGTTGGCAACAGAAAGAACTATGCTGTAGCTGTCCAGCCACATGGAACAGAGTTCAAGCTCATTTTGCTTGGCCTGCCAAATTATGGAATTTGGACCAGTGAGAAAGAGGTAGAAGGTTTCACACATTACTACCTGTTTCCCACAACTGTCCAGACCATGTTCCTGTAAATCAGCAAGTCTTTCCAGCACTGAGAGATTTCCACTGTGTAGAAATCTCCAAATTTCTGCACCCCCCAACTCTTTCTTCCTGGGAAGAAAGTGTAAGAGGAGAGTATATGTTTTATTTTCCTTTATGTAATGAGATGCTCTTTGGCAGTAGACTAGTCTTGGAATTAAAAGAAATTTCATACAAGTCCAGAAAAGCTGTCAAAGTGAAAAATATAAAAAAATAGTAATTACTGCTGTGGGTTCCAAAGGCTTATCCTGCTCTTTGCAGGAAGTAGAACAGGATGTTTTGTCTTTCAAGCACTATGAACATGCTTCAATTTTCATGGTTTTAAGGCGGTATTACATTTATATTTCGGAAGATGTAGAGCAGCAAAACAAAACATTGGCATAAGAATAGATTGCAAAAGTCCCTTGCTCTTAAGATGTGGGTTTGTGTGTAACTTAATTCTAACATGAGTAAGGAACATCTGTCCCTTAATTCCATTGGTACTTTTAAGTAGTGCTGCTGAAGATCCTTAGTGTTTGTGACAGTTTCCCCAGGATCGTATCACTGCCAACTTAGTACTTTTGTCTCTGAAAATGAGGCAGGTATTTCTAATGATTACAGGTAGCTCTTCATCAGAATCCTGATAAGCAGAGTCATTACAGAACACTACTCACCTATCACCAGGGTGGAGGCACCTGTGTTGGTGAATGCTGGTGCTAGGGATGAGGTCTCACCAGCTCCAATTGCCATTACACCCGGCAGTGATGCCATGATAAGGTTCTGAGTTTGCTGGCTCAGTGCATGTGGATTTTGCTCTAGGCTATGCAAGGCAGTCAGGGTGCTGACAGGAGGGAGAGTTCCTCCAGGAGCTGAGACCTGTGTGAAAGGAGGACAGTGAAAATGCCATCTGCAGAAGGTTGAGTGTGGCAAGTCCCAAAGCTGTGATAAACGTCCTTCTTCCTGCCTGCTCTGACCACTTGCTAACTAGAAAGACTTCACATTTGCTTGTCCGCGGTTTCCCTGTACTCATCAATTAACTAGCAAAGGTCAGCTGTTGAAATACTAAGAGTAAATCCTTGCTGTTTTAGTTCTTTCATGTTTAAGAAATTGTAAGGCTTTTACAAACAAGAATGAGATTAGTCCCACTGCATTCTCTATAGGGAAAGTTTATCTTCTGTTTTACAGCTGAGGGTAGAAGACGATGTTCAGAGAAATTAGGAGGCTCAGGTAATTTTACATAGTAATTTTAGCTGCAGAGTTCAGCACAGAATCCAGGAGTTCCTCTTTTCTTGTTCACCTGTTCCTCTGAGAAATGCCTGTAATTGCCCTTTCTCCCAGCAAGTGTCTTTTAGTGGCCAGTGAGTTTTTGGAAACCTAAGTTTCCTTAGACCTTTTTCTCATACTGTTCTTCAGGCTGCACTACCTGCCAGTTCCCTGCTGTTAGAGAGGAAATGTACGTGTTAGAACAGGACTGTTCTGTGCTTAGGTGTCTTGCTGATTCAGTCTGTCCCTGAGTCATCAAGAAATTTAATAACCCGACTGTTTCCTCAGCCTCTAAAATGAACCATGTAACTAACCTGTGTCTATGCTCTAACAGGGTTTTGAGTTTGCAAGGCCCTTTGGAGACCTGTAGTTGAAGTACTGTGGAACAGCAAAATAGCATTCTAATAATTTGGCTGATAGAGAAAGTTCAATGCTTTATATTATAATTTTTTTTCTCCCCTCAGACAAAAAAGCTGTAAGGAATCTTTAGTAAGAGTAAGCACCAACAGGTTAAACAGTGGGACAGATCACCTTGATACCATTTTTAGAAGACAGCTGTGGAAGATTTTCAGCATCTTGTGAAAAACTTTTTTTTTTCTTCAGGAAGAGACCAGAAAGTCAGCCAAGTGAGTGACTGACGAGATTTAAATCACACTCATTCGTAGTGACCTTAACTTTGCCTCAGGCCAGTATGCGCTAATGCAAACTTCTGCCAACTGTTTTCTTGTAAGCAAGGGAACATGTGCAAACTGAAAATGATCAGTCATGTAGTTCTAGTGCTTTTTTGCTAATTATGTGGGAACAGGTGTAGTCAAATCTCAAAAGGTAATTTGCTTTGGATGGCAAATTGCTACAATCTAGATATCCAGTAAACGTCTCAATGGTATGTGCTGCATACAGGCTGTTTGGCTTAATTTTTACAGGTAAGATAGATGTAAGTATGGGTCTCTGTTCTGTTAATCCCACTGGTGTCTGATCAACTATCTTGAGATGTGTAGAGTTCAGATAAGAGTTGAAGATGAGATGACGAGAATCTCACTGGGGAAAGTAGAGAATATGGTTTCCTGGTAAGAAGGAAATCATGTCATACCTTGAGCTCTTTTTTTTTCAGAATAGACTGTTTTCATTGATTGTAAGGAAGTGGCTATACTTCTTGCTTTCATGCTCTAATACCCACCCTCACCAGCAGTCTAGAGGGCACGTATATCTTGGGACTGCTCATGTTACATGGTCAGTGCAAAGTGGCTATGTAATATCTCTATAAGAAGGTGGTTTTAAGAGTATTCTAGGAAAAATTACTTCTGAATAGTCCATACTGTGACCACAGACAGAGGACCTCACATCCTCCAGTCACCCGAACTTAAGTATGCATTACTTACCAGCTTGGTGTCTGTGTTCAGTAGGTTCTGGCTGGGCTCCAGTCCAGGGGGAGAAACCTGATGCAGGATGGTTTGGGTGGTCACCATGGAGCTGTTCCCATGGTGGTTGCTGCTGGAGGACTCTGCCTCGCTGGCTGGCTGCTGGTTGTACCTCACTCCTGCATCATAACAAGAGGGAAACTAGTTGTCAAAAAAGAGAAACTGAGAAACTTTGGCAAGTGCTAAATTCAGTTTCCTTTGCAGGCCCGCTTGCCTTTAGATGTTCGAAGCAGAGACAAGATGGGTAGTAGGGGGACGAAGGGAACAGGCATTCTCGCCACCCTGCCCTGGCTTTCCTCTGTAACTTGGTGCAACTGCTTCCTCAAATACTGACTTTAAGGTATGTCTGTGTGTGCTGCAGGGAGCAAGCTGGGTTCACCAGAAACCACCCCTCGGGATGTGGGTGTAGAGAGGAGAGAGTCTCAGCGAGATCATCTCTTCCCAGAGTGAGAGCAATTACCAGCTCTGGCCTACGAAGCTGGAAAAGCTCTGCTCTTTTTGGATGGAGAATGACCTTTCCTGATGCCTGAAAACTCAGTCACAGAGTCTGATGGTGCTGATATGTGTTGGGAAGAATAGGAGGCACACACATGAGTGGAAAGATACAGAACTGACTTGTGATGGCAGCCAGTGGATGACTCCCTGAAAGAGGATTACTGCTTGCCAGCTGTGAGGGAGTGCAGGATGTCAAAGAGTAAGTGAGGAGATTTGGCTGAAACTTTTGTTACTGAACTTTGTCACCCATGCTATTCTAGCCACTCTCCTCACTCAGAGATGTGGTCTCTGTCACTGGTGCTCTTCCCTTGTAGCAAGTCTGCTTTTTCTACCTGTAGATTCACCTCCTAAAAGGCTGGACTTGGGATATAGTTTTGGTGATTGAGTTTGGGTAGGTTCACTGGTGTCTCTTTCAGATCTCCCTCTAGTTGTTTCTTACCGTGAACTTTGCTGGGTGAGAGAGTAGATGGTGGCTGGAGGGAGGAAGAGTTGTGAGGAGTTAGAGGAGGAGCAGAGGTGGGCTGTGGTCCACTGAAGGTGTCCATGGCCAGCTTGTGCCGGAAAGCCTCCTCCTTCCTGCGATTGGCAAACCAGTTATAAACTCTGACCTCTGTCACCAGGTTCGAGCCCAGTCCCTGGGCCTGAGATGGGGAAACGCCTCTCTGAATACACTCTGCTCTGTTGGGGGAAAGCACAAGAAGAGCCTTGCTGAGCCGGGCTTAGTCAGAGAGACTGAGTAAGTGCACAGCCCCAAAGTGGCTGTGGGCTGGCACACTGTGTGGAAGGATCCTGCCAGGTATCGCAAGACAATGAGGCATTACTGATCTTTTGTGGACAGTGAATGCTCAGTTGTGGCATTTCATTCAAACATGGCTGGTGTCAATGGTGACATCCACTGCTGTACTGTTAGCCTGCCTCTCATATGAGCTAGCAAACACCAAGAACACAGAGAGGCCCTGCTGTGCCCCTCTTCCTCAAAGCCAGACACCCATCTTTACCTGTTGCACTCTTCCACCAGCGCCTCTCTCTCTTCTTTGCTGGGGTTTTTCTGTCTCTCATAGGCTTGGAACAGGATCTGTTGTGAGGCAGGACCCCACTTAAAGCGGTTTCTTCTTCCCTTCTTGGTGGGCAGGTCATCTCCCATGGGCTCCTCTGTCAGGATACCCTGGCCAGCATGTGTGAATTCTGCAGGCACAAAGGGGCAAGGGAATTTGCTTTATGGAAGCATTTCCAATAGTTCTGTCTATTTGGGTGCCTAGCAGACCCCATGCAGCTTACCCTTGGAGAATATATCATAGAAGACAGAGGGTTGAATCTAAATGGGGTGGAAATAAAGTTCCATAATCTACTAAAACTGATAAGATGTTCCTGGCAGAACCACATTTACCTGTCCTTTCTCTTGCTTACATTGCATCTCTGCTTCCACCTTGGAAGGTGGAAAATGCAAATGCATTTCATTTGCATAAAAGCAAATGCAGCTGAGTTTAGAGTAAGCATGACTGGAGTCCTGCTTTCCAAAACCATCCAAAGGCCAAATGTCTCATTTTACTTGCAACCCAGCAATAAAAAATTATGTAAGACAGATTCCAGACAGGCTCATGAATGTAGAAGCACATGCTGCAGGGATGGGTTCCCAGTGGGTGCCTGTAATGAAGGGGCTTAGAGGGCATGGGGTGATAGCCCACAGTGGTTTTTCACAGTGAGTACAGCAGCCTGCTGCTTTTTGCAGCTAGAGGAACTGTTGCTTTAGCTGAAATTGCAAAAGCATAGTTGTCGGGCAGAAATTCTGACTCTGTCATCTGTCCACTACGCTGCTTTAGTCTGAGGATGGGTGTAGAACTCTTAATTGCAAATGGAGAGTATTAATTTGCTTCTCTTTAGCCAAATGAGTGGGGTGGGTGACTGCAGGCTGCTTCATGAAGGAGTGTTTTTCCATGTAATGTTTGGTTGACCTCACCGCTGAATACTGACCTTAGACTTCTCTAACCTTCCTGCTAAAAGTGGCTTTTCCTTCCATTTTTCCTTGATAAAAATAGGGAGTAAGGATTAGCAAGGGAGAGCAGAGGCCTTTATGAAATAGAGATAGGAGAACAGTTGTTGTTATACTTACGCTGGGCCACCTCTCGCTGCTTGCGGACATACCAGGTGTAGAGGGCTGCCCTTTTTTGGGTCTTCATGGGAGTGCCCTTATTGAGGTGTTGTGAGAGGTGAGATTGGTTCAGACCAGTAGTGTCCACCACCTCACGCTGAGGGATGTTGTGCTGCTGGAGGTAGGATTTCACCATTTTTGCTACTCGCCAGGGATCCTCTCTGGAAGGAGCAGAAAACACTTCTCAGAAGAGAGATCTAACACCTGCACTCAGCAGACCTGGATTCCAAGGAAGTGCACTAGTACCTCCTGAGGTGCACCTTGTGTATCAGTCATCACCATTGCGTTTGGTGAGGCCAGAGTGTTAACTGGCTGCATAAAGGAAGGCTGTTCCTTGGTGTGGTATCTTGTTCAGTTTTGACTCTGCATTCAGGGTAAAAACTGCATGGTATTAGAAATGAAGTGTAAAAGATGTAGCACTAGCTTCCTTTAAACTAGCCTGTGTAGGTACTTTGATCTCCCCTTAGAAGGGGCTCTTTGGTTATCAAGGGAATTTCTCAATACATGGCCATAGTCTTCGCTGCCTTGTGCTCATTTGGATACAAGGTTTTGGCCTGTTCTGTCTAGGCAATTGTCATCTGTAAATGACAGAAAGTGCTGACCAGTGATGTGAGTGAGGAGTGGACCTTTCTGCTGGAAAGTAATGTGAATGTAAAGCATTTTTGCTGCTAGTGAGAAATGGTATGAGGAGGGAAGTGATGTTGCATTTCAGTATTCAGTTGGATGTTTTATGACTACAGATCTCTTTTTCAGAGT